ACGTATTACATGACTACAAATGGAAACTTATACACAAGCACATATAGAAATTAAAATAGAATATCAAATATGCCAAAAAAAAGGATGTTCCTCACAGCAGGGGGTGGACTATGATACCAGGGAGCACCAGTTTCAGAAAATAGTTCTGTAAGTTCAGATGAGAATGCAAGAAACCTACAGGATTGTTATGATGTCCAAAAAACAAAAACAAAAACAAAAACAAAATATAGGTATAGAAATTGCAGAATAAATATAAGTAACTTTTCTCCAGTCAGAGGAACATGATGCAGATTTTAGTAGCTTTGATACTAAATTGATGTAGATTAAGAAAGAAGGAAATTAGGAGATGAGAATGAAGGGAAGAGAAGAATAAGAAGAAAGGACATGCGNTAAGTAACTTTTCTCCAGTCAGAGGAACATGATGCAGATTTTAGTAGCTTTGATACCAAATTGATGTAGATTAAGAAAGAAGGAAATTAGGAGATGAGAATGAAGGGAAGAGAAGAATAAGAAGAAAGGACATGAGAATAAGGATTAAAGAGAGCAGAACAAGAAATTCAGAGATACCAATCTCAATATTCGATTAATAATTCCAGTTTGCAAAAATAATTACAATAGCCTCTTTATATAGGGATACCAAAGTCATAAATGAAGATTCCTAACCTAATTCTAGCACTAAATAGACAAATACCAACAAATACTCAAAAAACAAAATGCATCCGAAAATAGATCCACAATATTTTTCTAACCTCAANCCAATCTCAATATTCGATTAATAATTCCAGTTTGCAAAAATAATTACAATAGCCTCTTTATATAGGGATACCAAAGTCATAAATGAAGATTCCTAACCTAATTCTAGCACTAAATAGACAAATGCCAACAAATACTCAAAAAACAAAATGCATCCGAAAATAGATCCACAATATTTTTCTAACCTCGACATGATCCCCATCAGGATAACTCACCCAAAAGTACTCATTCTTCCTGCCATTTCGATAAGTGCTCCGACACTCAAGCTTATGGTCGCAAAATATGGATAAGAAACATTGCGAAGAACAATCTAATGAAAAATTAATAAACATCCTTCATAATCTTCGTATTAATAATATCAGAGACCTAGGAGCGCGATGGTGAGGGTTTCGGCAATTGTAACGGTGACTGGATTTTTATATAACATTATCATGAGAAAGAACAGTGTTCTTTCTGATGTGGCAAAAGCAACTGAAAGCAAACATGTGTCCCAGGACAATGCTGTTCCATATAGTAGATTGCCAGCCATTTCTCAAATTCTTCAGTCCAATTTAGACAAAGCATTCTCATTTCTCAACATTTGGAAATTATGTAGTCCTATGTTCACAATTGTTATACATTATCATTTTGCAATGCCATACGTTTCTTTTTAACTTGACTTGAAGACCACCCCCAACAAAAGAAAAAAATTAAAAATTAAAAATTAAGGAAACACAGAATAACATGAGTAGTGCCCCAAATAACTACTAGTCCATGCCACCAATTCTTTTTTTCCATGCATGTTAAAGATTTATTTCTTGAAATTGAAATAAATTCAAAAATAGAATTGATTTGACAAAGGGATTGCTACAAATCATGCCTACCAGGCATGGTTGGTTGCCACTACAAAAAAGTCAAATGATATAGAGTTTCCTTTAATTCATGCTTATAATAAGCCTGAAGAGAGAGGATTTTGAACAAGTATAAGAGAATGTGTTAAGCACCTATATTTATCTGTCTCAATATGAGACTGCCAGCAACTTTACTTATATATGTTTGGAACCAACTGATTTGGTGACCTGTTATCCCTTAGTCTAGTTCTTATTTCAAGCTTGTTGCATCCTATATTTGTTGTAACGGACTCATAGAATTCTGAACAATGGTCAAGCTGCTGGTTGGAATTTTTGTTACAATATGAATGGGTTGGAATGATCAATTTTGTACTGGATGGTGTTGTTATGAAGTGGTGAAGTGACCTAGTGACCATGGAAAAAAACAAACATGAGAAAGAGCATGTTGAAATATGGTAGGTCATAGATGTCAACAAAATGCCTGATTCTAGATTTAGCAAGATATCTAGTTCTTAGTCTTTCCAGAACCTAGAGATCCATAGCATACCCTTCACTGAAACCAATATGATCAAATAAACATTGAATCGAGGGATATGGCATCAAAGCTTAAAATAACTCAAATCCATGTTCTATGAGATAACAGTACCGGCATCTAGAACTATAGCAAGGGGACAATCAAGCAGATAAACCCTACCAGTGCAATAAATATATTCCATTAATAATTCCAATCAAGATGACAAACATACTAGCAACAAAAGAAGTGTAGAGAGAAAAAAGTACATTACCTTCCTATTGAAAGAAAACAACTTCTCCAATCATCAATCTCTGAAACTCTCTATTATAAACAAACTAAAATTTCCAACAATTGAAAACACAATAGTGATCAAGGTAAAAAAAACCAATATAAACTAACTTAAATTCCTCTTTAACAGGCATAATAAATATTAAGATCACTGATAGAGCCATGCCCAGTAACAGGTAGATAAACATTATCTTCACACCGTTTTCATACATAACGCACAAATATAAGAAATTTGAGCATCACTGGCATTGCATTTGTGTTTGTCATTTTATAACAGCAATCAAAACAGGCATCACTCACATGAGATACATTGGGGACACTACTTTCAACTTTCCCGATATTTAGTTGATAGCATCATTCTATGCTAATAAGAGCCAAAGTAGGTNATCAAAACAGGCATCACTCACATGAGATACATTGGGGACACTACTTTCAACTTTCCTGATATTTAGTTGATAGCATCATTCTATGCTAATAAGAGCCAAAGTAGATNTTGACAAAGGGATTGCTACAAATCATGCCTACCAGGCATGGTTGGTTGCCACTACATAAAAGTCAAATGATATAGAGTTTCCTTTAATTCATGCTTATAATAAGCCTGAAGAGAGAGTATAAGAGAATGTGTTAAGCACCTATAAGAGAATGTGTNAAATTAATAAACATCCTTCATAATCTTCATATTAATAATATCAGAGACCTAGGAGCGCGATGGTGAGGGTTTCGGCAATTGTAACGGTGACTGGATTTTTATATAACATTATCATGAGAAAGAACAGTGTTCTTTCTGATGTGGCAAAAGCAACTGAAAGCAAACATGTGTCCCAGGACAATGCTGTTCCATATAGTAGATTGCCAGCCATTTCTCAAATTCTTCAGTCCAATTTAGACAAAGCATTCTCATTTCTCAACATTTGGAAATTATGTAGTCCTATGTTCACAATTGTTATACATTATCATTTTGCAATGCCATACGTTTCTTTTTAACTTGACTTGAAGACCACCCCCAACAAAAGAAAAAAATTAAAAATTAAAAATTAAGGAAACACAGAATAACATGAGTAGTGCCCCAAATAACTACTAGTCCATGCCACCAATTCTTTTTTTCCATGCATGTTAAAGATTTATTTCTTGAAATTGAAATAAATTCAAAAATAGAATTGATTTGACAAAGGGATTGCTACAAATCATGCCTACCAGGCATGGTTGGTTGCCACTACAAAAAAGTCAAATGATATAGAGTTTCCTTTAATTCATGCTTATAATAAGCCTGAAGAGAGAGGATTTTGAACAAGTATAAGAGAATGTGTTAAGCACCTATATTTATCTGTCTCAATATGAGACTGCCAGCAACTTTACTTATATATGTTTGGAACCAACTGATTTGGTGACCTGTTATCCCTTAGTCTAGTTCTTATTTCAAGCTTGTTGCATCCTATATTTGTTGTAACGGACTCATAGAATTCTGAACAATGGTCAAGCTGCTGGTTGGAATTTTTGTTACAATATGAATGGGTTGGAATGATCAATTTTGTACTGGATGGTGTTGTTATGAAGTGGTGAAGTGACCTAGTGACCATGGAAAAAAACAAACATGAGAAAGAGCATGTTGAAATATGGTAGGTCATAGATGTCAACAAAATGCCTGATTCTAGATTTAGCAAGATATCTAGTTCTTAGTCTTTCCAGAACCTAGAGATCCATAGCATACCCTTCACTGAAACCAATATGATCAAATAAACATTGAATCGAGGGATATGGCATCAAAGCTTAAAATAACTCAAATCCATGTTCTATGAGATAACAGTACCGGCATCTAGAACTATAGCAAGGGGACAATCAAGCAGATAAACCCTACCAGTGCAATAAATATATTCCATTAATAATTCCAATCAAGATGACAAACATACTAGCAACAAAAGAAGTGTAGAGAGAAAAAAGTACATTACCTTCCTATTGAAAGAAAACATCTTCTCCAATCATCAATCTCTGAAACTCTCTATTATAAACAAACTAAAATTTCCAACAATTGAAAACACAATAGTGATCAAGGTAAAAAAAACCAATATAAACTAACTTAAATTCCTCTTTAACAGGCATAATAAATATTAAGATCACTGATAGAGCCATGCCCAGTAACAGGTAGATAAACATTATCTTCACACCGTTTTCATACATAACGCACAAATATAAGAAATTTGAGCATCACTGGCATTGCATTTGTGTTTGTCATTTTATAACAGCAATCAAAACAGGCATCACTCACATGAGATACATTGGGGACACTACTTTCAACTTTCCTGATATTTAGTTGATAGCATCATTCTATGCTAATAAGAGCCAAAGTAGATTCTTAATGTGAGAAATTTCAAAATGAAATAAAAGCATGAACATTGTCCAAAATTCATGCAAAAGATTCAACATCCACGTTTACAACTATTACTTCACAGAAACAAAAAAACTTTATACTGTTGTCTTTAAGTACAGCATGCACAGAGAAATCAGCAACAGAAACAGAAAGAGAACAGTCAAAATGATCTGGAAAACTCAAATTGAAGGTTAGGCTTCTACCTCAAGCGCCCAAACTTGATCACCATATCATTATTCTTAAAAACAGATTAAAGTTCAAACTCGTCTTCAAGTTTCAGTTGTTCAGCTGCAGCTTCCTCCTCTTCATCATCAATCACGAAATATGGATTGTGCGCCTCAGGCTTGAACCTATAACCCGTAAACACATAGAAAGCAAGTGTCGCCAACTCCCCAGCCACAACACTAGTCCAAAGATACCTATATGAGGTAATTGTCTCCAATGCATAAACCACAACTCGCGTGAAATAAATGTAGCAAATAACCACAATGTAATACTGTCTGAACAGCGTCAGTTTCATCAAATTCACGGCCGCTTTCCCATCAGTCCTGGCCGCCTCACGCAAATTCTTGATTGACCAAACGATTGGGAACAAAACAGCGCAACAACAAACAACATCAACTAGCAAAAACACTTGTTTCCAAGTCACCCAATCTTGACCATAGGGCCCAGTCTCATCGATCACAACCTGAGCTATATTGGCAATCACCTGAAGCGGAATCACAATCATCAAAACCTTCTTCTCCTTATCTTGCAAGTACGGTTTCAAGAACGACCAACCGGTCCCGATCAACACAATCAAAGTAAACAACGTAATTCCTTTGAAGAAACTAAATATATAAAACAATACATCCCAACCGTGAGCACTACCGGTTCTCTTAATATAAGACTTATCCTCGGCCTCGCAGAGTAAGTTAAAAGTTTTCAGGATAACCACGGCAAGCATAAAGAAATGAATACGGAACACGGTTAAACGCTTTTGGTATAAAACGTACATCCAAACACCGGCTAAACTGAAATAGATGATAGAGAAAAGAAAATAAACCCTAGGCAGGATTGTTTTGCCTGCGGATAAGTAATCGCGACTATTGGACTTGCCGTCTAGATTGTACATGGCAGATCGGACGTTCATTGAGACTTTGAGTTGTGGAAGGCAATTAGCGAAGACGAGGGTATACTGATCGGCATCAGTTTGCGGATACACCATATCGAAGCCTTTTTTGGCGCCTGTGAGAGATTGGAAAGCGTAGACTTGTTTGATGAGGCCGGACTGGAGAGCGCACGTGATCTCGGCGTCCTCGATTTGTTCGAGCACGTGCATCCATGAGTCTTTTGTGCAGAGGAAGAAGCCGAGTTTGGAGAGGTCGAGATCGGGGCTGGGGTTGGAGAGTGAGATCTCAGAGACGTTCAGTTCCAGACGGCCTTTGTGAGTGAATCCAAATTCGTCGAAGGGGATTATAGGCCGGTCGTCGGAGCGGATCTCAGAGAATCGGATCTCTGCGAAGGTGAAAGTGAATGGGATGGAGAGAAAGACGAGGAGGAGGAGAGACAAAGGCCGGTGAAGAATGACCATGGTGCGGAAATGGAAAGATCTGAGGGGGTTGAGATCTCAGATCTTCTTCTGTGAAGCCGATGTGAGAAGCCACTTGAATAGAATTCTTCACCTATTGAGAATGAAAGAAGTTCATTTTTTTTAAGGGTAAAATCCAGCTTAGCCCCTTCTGGTTTGTGGGTTTTGCGCTTCATCACCCTATAGTTCAAAAATCTGCACATAACCTCTTTTATGTTTTGGACCAAATTGCTACCGTTAACAATTCTGTTGAAAGTGACGGAAAGTACAACACAGCGCCTATTTCGCGAGTTNCATTTTTTTTAAGGGTAAAATCCAGCTTAGCCCCTTCTGGTTTGTGGGTTTTGCGCTTCATCACCCTATAGTTCAAAAATCTGCACATAACCTCTTTTATGTTTTGGACCAAATTGCTACCGTTAACAATTCTGTTGAAAGTGACGGATGGTGTGTTATATTTCTTAGTCAAAGTCAAATTTAAACACAAAAAGACAAATATACCCTTACATACTTTATAAAAACACAAAAATATATTTTCGTCTTAAATTTCCTCTTTCTTAACAAGAAATCTTTATGAAATCACCACGACCTCTTATTTATCTCTCTTAACTTTGTAAATCTCTCTCTCTCTTTTTTCACCGTCTTCATCTCCAACGTTTCCACCTCGTTCTACATTCATTAACAGGTTCCCTCCTTCTCTCACACGCATGCACCTTGGCCTCCTTCCCTCCCCTATGCATGGTTGTACCTCCTNAATTTCCTCTTTCTTAACAAGAAATCTTTATGAAATCACCACGACCTCTTATTTATTTCTCTTAACTTTGTAAATCTCTCTCTCTCTCTCTTTTTTCACCGTCTTCATCACCAACGTTTCCACCTCGTTCTACATTCATTAACAGGTTCCCTCCTTCTCTCACACGCATGCACCTTGGCCTCTTTCCCTCCCCTATGCATGGTTGTACCTCTTTCGTCCACTGATTTTCCTCTTCTATCGCCCACTTATGCCTTCGTTTTCTACCTATTGCAATTGCATAAATTATCATCCCAACCCCCAACTTTGGTATCTCTATAATTTTAGTAGAACAATTGGTGGAATTTACATGATTGGCATTGACAAAAACCTCCACTAATATTTATTTAATTTTTTATTGAAAGCTTTCTAGTCGCATTTAGTATTAATTGGATTTTTTAATTGAATTTAATGCACAATAGGATGGTGGTTTAGGTGGGTTTAAGTTTTTTGTTTGGATTTGGTGTAACAAGGATTGAATTGATACAACTTGGGTGGTGATAAAACTAGACAAAAAGCAATGGTATTAACCAAGCAGACAAAAGTAAAATAGCGAGGGAGGGTTGTTTAAGTTATTTTGTTTGGAATTAAGTTTCTTGTTTGGATTTGATGCAACTTGGGTGGTGATGAAACTAGGCAAAAAGAAGTGGTGTTAACTATGCACTGTAAACCCTCACACTCTTATCTTTATATAATAAGTAATTATTTTTGANCTTAGCTACATACCTATTAAAGGGGGAGGCAGACCATTGGTGGGACTCGGTGAAGAGAAGGAGGAACACTGATGCGCTTACCTAGGAGGAGTTTGACCAAATCTTCTAGGACAAGTATTTTCCTGAATCAGTCAGGGATAAAATGAGTGCAAATTTTCTTGTTCTACGACAAGGTAGCATGACGGTGATGGAATATGAGAGGAAGTTTGATGAGCTATCTCGCTATGCCACAAAGTTCATATCTACTGAGGCTAAGAGGGCCAAACAATTTGAGCAAGGCATGAGGCCTGCTATTAGGGAGAAACTAGTGGCCCACAATATCCGAGACTATGGGGATCTTGTTGCCGGAGCTGTACTAGTGGAAAGAAACACAGAGGACAATTAGTGGCGACAGAACTTCATAAGGAGAGGTTCGATTCGGACGGGTGCTAGCAGAGGGCAGCATCATACCGTCACCCAGACCAGGTGGTTGGACAAAGACTTTAGATAGTTCGAGGAGATGGGGTTATTCAGATTAGAGTAGGCACTGACTCGCATCAATACTTCGCATGCGGAGGTTCCGGACACATAAAAAATAACTACCCATCATTTTCAACAAAGACCAATTAAGCAATAGGACAAGTAAATGAAAACAAGCCACTTCTACAGAAGCCACTACAATAGAGACCGTTAAGAGCTCTAGCCCCAGGCGGTGCCAATCAGGGGAGAGTGTTTACTTTGACCTAACTGGAGGAAGGCGTTCCTAATGTAGTTATGGAAGGTATCATTCTACTTTATAATTCTTGGGCCCAAATTTTATTTGATCCTGGTGCGATTCATTCATTCATACGCATTATATATGCTCTTAATTTGGGATTGAAATTTGAGAAGTTAAAACATGCCTTTAATATTGACATGCCTACGGGAGAACTGTTGGATACTTGAAGGGTGTGTAGAGGTTGTGTGTTTCGAATTGGGGAGTAAGAATTGATTATAGATTTGGTTGCATTAGACATGAAGGGGTATGACATAATATTTGGGATGAACTTGTTGTCCATTTTCCATGCGGTAATGGATTATTTTCGCAAGCGAATTTCATTTCAATTACCAGGAGGGGTAGTTTTCAACTTCATTAATGATCGAAATGCTTCCTAACCATTTTTCACTACGAGAAATAGATTCTTGAAAGCTAAGGCAGAGAGTAATTTGAGTTTCTTGGCCAGCTTAATTGGAGATGATTGAGATAAATTCCCTGCGGACATGGTGTTGATAGTATCGAATTTTTTGGATATCTTCCCAGATGAACTACTTGGGTTACCTCCACGAAGAGAGATTGAGTTTAAGATTAATCTTTATTCGGGAACCGAACCTATATTCATTACTCCCTATAAGATGGCACATTTGGAGTTAAAGGAGGTAAAGAAACAGTTGGACCATCTCTTGACTATTGGATTTATCCGTTTAAGCACTTCATCTTAGGGAGCCCTAGTCCTCTTTGTGAAGAAGTATGATGAAACACTTAGGTTATGCACGGACTACCAAAGGTTGAATTGAGTGACAGTAAAGAATAAATACCCATTGCCACGAATTGATGATTTATTCGATCAATTGAGGGATTCCAAGTATTACTCCAAGATTGATCTTTACACAGGGTACCATCAACTGCGGATCAAGGAGGAGAATATTCCTAAGATAGCTTTCCGTATTCGGTATAGTCATTTTGAATATACGGTAATGTCGTTTGGACTGACTAATACTCCGATAGTCTTTATGGATTTGATACATAGGGTATTCCGGTCATATCTAGATCAGTTTGTTATTGTGTTTATTGATGACATATCAATCTATTCACGAACACAAGGGGAACATGAACATCATCTCTCGGTAGTGCTTCAGTCATTGAGAGAGCATAAGTTATATGCTAAGATAAGTAAATGTGAGTTTTGGATGAAGGAAGTGAAATTCCTTGGTCATGTTGTGTCTGAATAATGAATAGTTGTTGACCCCGCAAAGATTGAAGTAGTGATGAAGTGGGAACCACTGAAGAATGTGATCGAAGTACGTAATTTCCTGGGCTTAGCAGGCTACTACCTAAGGTTTGTGGAAGGGTTCTCCAAGCTAGCGATGCCAATGACATGTCTTACGAAGAAGGGAGAGATATTCTCATGAACCCAAGTGTGTGAACTAGCCTTTTGCACCTTGAAGGAGAAGTTGACAACAACTCTTGTTCTCATTATTCTGAGCAGTGAAAAGGGATATAATGTGTATACTGATGCTTTGTTGTGAGGCTTGAGATGTGTGCTAATGCAAGGAGGTAAGGTAGTTGCTTATGGCTCGAGGCAACTCAAGATTCATGAGCAGAACTATCCCACTCACGACTTGGAGCTTGCCGCTATGATTTTTGCACTTAAGTTGTGGAGGTGTTACTTGTATGGAGAAAAGTTTCAAGTGTTTTCTGACCATAAGAGCCTTAAGTATATATTCACACAGAAAGACTTGAATCTTCGGTAAAGAAGGTGGATTGAGTATTTAGAAGATTATGATTTCGCACTCAACTACTATCCAGGAAAGGCTAATGTAGTAGCAGATGCACTTAGCAGAAAGTCTCGGGGTGAACTCAATGCTCTTGCAAGTAAATGGAAGATGATGGATGCCCTTGGATACTATGATCTATGGGTTAGAGAAGATGGATCCTGACCATGCTTGTTTAACCTTGTGGCTCAACCTACCCTCCAACGTAGTGTTGTGGAGTTGCAATGCTTGGATCCTTACTTAGAGTCGATTCGAGCTAAATTGAAAAATGGGGAAGTAGTTGAAGGTTGGTCTTTAAGGAATGAAGAACTGAGATATGGAAAAAAGCTACGTGTACCTGATGATTCGTCCTTAAAGGAGTAGATACTTGGAGAGTGTCATCGCGTTAAGTTTGTTATCCATCTCGGTGGCACAAAAATGTATAGAGACATGAAGCGTTAATATTGGTGGAAGGGAATGAAGAAGGATGTAGTAAGGTTCATAACACGATGTACAGTATATCAGCAGGTGAAGTGGAGCATCAAAAATCTGGAGGATTACTACAGTCCTTACCTATCCCTGAGTGGAAGTGGGATCACATCACCATGAATTTTATGTCTGGTTTTTCTCGGACTTCACGAGAGCACAATGCCGTATGAGTCATTATTGATAGACTCACCAAGTCCACTCATTTCTTGAGTATGAAGACCACTGACTCCTTAGAGACCTTGAACAAGCTTTATATCTGTGAGATTGTTAGATTACATAGAGTTTCACTCTCTATCGTGTTGGATCATGATTCGCGGTTTGTGGTGCAATTCTAGCAAAGTCTATAACGAGCTATGAGGATAGAGTTACACTTTAGCACCGCCTTTCATCCTCAAAACGGATGGCCAATCCGAGAGAGTGATACAAATTTTAGAGGACATGTTACGTGCTTGTGTGTTGGACTTCAAGGAAAGTTGGAGTGATTATTTGCCATTAGTGGAATTTGCATATAACAATAATTTTTA